TAGGCAGACGTAGAGTCATAGAGCGAGCCTCAAGTTCACACAATTGATATCTTTTTTTATATTAATGGAAGGGTATAGGCTATATACAGGCACACATGCTTGAAACTAGACAATTACACCAAACCAGTCAACATGCTTCATTGTACTGTCCTGGTTCTACTATTACACCCTTGGAAAAGAACCCGGCGAAGAAAAATCAAGGATTGCTAATTACTAAAGATGGACATGCAACTATTTACTTGTTTTTGTTTTTTTATATACACAAGGACAACTTATGTACTAAAACCACAAAACACCAATATATACAGAATCACAAAACACAAATAAATATAGAAATTTGCTTATATAGTACAAAAACATAAACATGTACAACAGTTGCCAATTTCACAAAAATATATACAAGGCTACCACCCTCAACTAAAAAGCATGCATTGTCCCCAATGCATAAGAACGTAAATAGAGTTTAAGGGCTCCCTGAGGCGCACTAAGTGCTATGGGAGTCGGAAGCCGGCTGAGTGATGATGGGGTCACCCTCTGATGCTGAAGCTGGGACCGATGAGATCTTGGCCTGAGGAGTGACCTTCACTGATGGAGGAGGGATATCTGACTGACCTAATACTGGAGCTGGGTCCTGTGAGCTACTAGCCTCCCCTACTAATGGCTGAGTGGTCGATGGATCTACTGGAGCGACCGTATCTGCTAGCGAATGTGCTATCGCCACCTGAATGGTTGTTTCTTCTTCATCCTCAACTGTCGAGGTAGCAACCTGCTTGCCCTTCTCATGGGGGCCATCCTCCTCCTTGGACCATGAATCCTCCTCATCCTCTCCCTCGTATGCCTCCTCACCTTCGAACTCTACATATTCTCCGAAATCTTCCTCAGAAGGAATATCAATATGTGTAGAGGGAGCTGGAGGCTGGGAAGCCCCGACAGTCGGAGGTGCAATATCTGTCATCAGAGTGGAGAAATCAAGATCTAGGCCTGGTGCTGCTGTGTTTGCTCCCTACTCACCTTCCTTGAGCATGAAGGATGATAGATCGAACTCCAAAGTCTACATCTTGTGGAGCTCAGTCTTCATAGTGGCAACTTCCTCCCGGAGCTTTGGCAAGTCACTAACCTCTCCTTGCTCTATCTTCTCAACCATCAACTCCAGCTGTTGCAAGTGATCCCCATAAGATGTCTGTTGCTGCTGAAGAGCCATCACTGAAGACTGGATAGGAGTTAGAACTTGCTTGATGAGTGTAGGGAGACTTTTCAGGAGCTGGTCTATCTTAGCATTGGCATGTTGCGCTAAGAGACCTAGCCTCGAGACAACTAGCAGTGCAGTAGAGGGCTGCGCAATGGTGGACTGAGAAGTGGGTTGTGAAGTGGAAGCAGATGTAATTGTAGCCTGAGGAGACACCAGAGTCTGGGAATCTGAGGGTTCTACATCAATAGGAACCTGAGTATGCACATTTAGGGGAGCAACATCTGCTGTGTCATTGATGCACGTGATATTAATATCCTTCAGCGACTTCCCTGTCTTGTCAGTGTGTGGCATGGTAGGGACTTTCACAGCCTTACAGAGGGCTGTGATCAAGCAGGGGAATGGAAGTGAAGTGGCTGTCTGCTTTACCCGGATCCCTAGCTCTCGGAAGATAAAGTTACCCACATCAATCTTGATTCCTTCCATAATGCATGCAATGAGAAGAGCTTTCTCAATGCTTATGTCTGTCTCGTTTTTGGACGGTATCAGTTGAGAGGTGACAAAGCTAAGCCAATATCTGCCCTCTCATGTGATATCCTCCTTGTATATTTTGTGCACCGGGTTGATCCAAGTAGGGGTCCCCTTAGCTATCACAGAAGCTATCCAACTATGCTTATTGTCCCGATTTGCCCATTTGGCCACGTACTCAGCTATTCCCGGGCTCCAATCAGGGATGTAAAACTCATTGATAGTCTCATCGCTATAGAACACACTCTTCCCCTGAACTAACAGAGTGTCATAGAAAACCCTGTTGCGCTTGTGATGAGCAGTCCTGGAGTCTCCAGAGGAGGCATAAAACTCACAGACAATGGTTTCATTATATTCATCAGGAAACTCTGTGAAGCACTCCCATTTTCTTGCCTTGATGTTCTCCCAGATGTGGGGATACTACTCTTGTATCCCATTCACACTCAGTTGTTTTTCGGCCAGGATTTTTCGTTTGGTCAGCCTTTCTCTATAAAGCTCCCTGGACCCTTCGACCCCAAACCTGAGCTGGAAGTCATCTCCTCGTTTCCTTTTTTCCTTAGCTTGTAGGTAAACTTCGGGCAAGATCTCCTCCTCATCAGTTTTGGAGGGAAGTGTAGCAGTAGGGTCTGGTCGCGGTCGTTTTGCTTGTTGAGTTTGACAACTGGAGGAGGCCCTTTTTTGGGCAGAGGCTGTATGTTTCCTGGGACCCATATCTGCACAGAAATGAGATGTGAACAACATAGTAGGCATTAATGAAACAAAAACAGAAAAACTCAAGAAAAAGTTAAGAATGCGACAGGTTATGCGGGCGCATAACCACTATGCGCACCGCAAGCTTGTTGCAAGCTCGCAGGCAATTCAAATGAACTAAGTATGCGATGGTTTATCCGATCGTATAACCACTATGCGGTTCACATAACCATCACATACCTGATTGCTCAGAAAACAAAATCACAAAATGTGATCGCAAAATCCACTACGAAGTTGGAAATGCGATCGCAAAGTGGCCGCAGACAGCATGTTATTATACTGGGTATTCCGTGTCAGTATGCGGTGATTTTGGAGTCCTCATATCAATTATGTGATCACAAAGTCATCGCATTTTGAAATCTGCTTCAGCCAGCTAGGGTTTACTTATGTGGCAGAAAAGTGGACCGCATTTTGATTATGCAAGCCGCAAACTTCATCTCTCCCAATGATTGAACTTAACCCTCAACAATGGCAGTCCTAATTTTTACTACCCAAGTGTCCCAAAACACACGACTTAACCAAAATCACATTATGAACAGACATCTAACTACAAAACACAAGTAAGGAGAAAAAAGAAACATGAAACAAAAACAAGAGAAACAAGAACAAGAACAAATGTAAAACTAAAGCTTGCAATGATGGAATTAGTACAAGAAAAACATATCAGTGATGGGTTTATGAGCACACTTGGAAGATTAGTTCACAGATGTTGCCTTATGTACGTGATGCACTAGCCGTTTTGCCTTCTCCGTTCCTCCGTTCCTTTTCTTCTTTTTTTTTTTTTCGTTTTGTTTTGTTTCTAATAATAATAATAAAAAATTTCTTTTTGTTTTGAATGAAGAGATGTGAAGGGATGCGAGGGACTTACCTAGGAGAATTGCGACGGGCAAGTAACCGTATAACACACTATGCGACCGCATAAGTGTTATGCGGTGGATTCAATTAAGATGTTGTAGGGCCAAAAATGCGGCGATCACATAGTGGAAATGCGGTCCGCAAAGTGCACCACCTTGTCGTAGTTTTATCACCAATTTTAGCCAAACACACTGTCTGGGTTTGTGACCAAAATGCGGTCCACTTAGTGAAAATGCGATCGCATATGTATAGCAAACATCCCAAGGTGATTTTTCTTCCCTTTCTCATGCCCCGTGTTATGATCTTTTGAATCTCCTGCACTCTAACACACACTTTAAATTGTTCAATTAAATCTATCTAACAAAAATTAAAAATTTAAAGGCCAAAAAAGGGTGGTTGCCTCCCATGAAGCACTTGATTTAACGTCGCGGCACGACGAAGTTGGCATTCCTTTGGATTCACTCATTGGTCGGGCATGGACCATCTTTGAGAGCCAACTGCTCCACCAAATGTTTTTCGCCATTTGTGCCCAAGTAGTGCTTGACTCGCTGGCCATTCACTTTGAAGGTTCGGAGCCCATCCTCCGATTCTAGTTCCGCAGCTCCAAAAGGAGAGACATTTACCACCTTGAACGGATCAGACCATTTTGATTTGAGCTTGCCGGGAAACAATTTGAGCCTTGAGTTAAAGAGCAAAACCAAGTCACCCGACTTGAACTCCCTCTCCAAGATCTTTTTGTCGTGGACGAACTTTATCCTCTCTTTATACACAGCTGAGATTTCATATGCATGGAAACGGAATTCCTCTATTTCATTGAATTGTGTTAACCTCAAATTTGCAGCTTCAGCCCAGTCCAAGTTCAACCTCTTCAGAGCCCACATGGCTTTGTGTTCCAGTTCTACGGGTAGATGACAAGCTTTTCCGAAGACTAACTGATAAGGAGAAGTGCCAATATGAGGTTTGTACACCGTGCGGTATGCCCACAATGCGTCATCTAGCTTCCTTGACCAATCGGTCCTGTTTGCATTAACAGTTTTTGCTAGAATGCTCTTTATCTCCCGGTTGGAAACCTCAACTTGACCACTTGATTGGGGGTGATAAGGTGTGGCCACCTTATGCTTGATGCCATATTTCTCTAGTAGCCCCGTGAACGCCTTGTTACAGAAATGAGACCCATCATTACTAAGAATGGCTCTAGGAGTGCCAAACCGAGTGAATATGTTTTTCTTTAAGAATGCGGTCACACTTCTTGCCTCGTTGTTTGGTAAGGCAATCGCTTCAACCCATTTGGACACAAAGTCCACATCAACCAAGATATATTTCATACCACAAGAGCTTACAAAGGGACCTATAAAATCAATTCCCCACACGTCGAAGATTTCTATCTCCATCACAAAGTGCATTGGCATTTCATGCCTCTTGGAGATTGATCCTTGCCTTTGGCATTGATCACAAGCTTTGACCATTTGATTGGCATCATGATAGATCGATGACCAATAATAACTATATTCAAGCACCTTAGTCGCTGTTCAATTCCCCCCATGGTGACCCCCAACCAGTGAGTCATGGCATGCCTTTAGAATTGGCATAGTTTCTTCTTCTAGAATACACCTTCTAATGATGTTGTCAGTACAAACACGAAACAAGAATGGTTCTTCCCAATAGTATTGCCGATAGTCTCTCAAAAACTTCTTCTTTTGATAGATTCCAATCCATGCGGAATAAGGTCACTAACCAAGTAGTTAGTAATATCGGCATACCAAGGAGCAAAAGTGCTAGATAGTGCTAATATGTGTTCATCCGGGAATGCATCATTGATATCAAGATATCCCTTTGGCCTCCCTGCCTCTTCAAGCCTTGATAAATGATTCGCTACTTGATTTTGAGTTCCCTTGCGATCCTTGACCTCGAAGTCAAATTCTTGCAACAATAAGACCCATAGAATCAACCTAGGCTTTGCATCCTTTTTTGCCATGAGATAGCGAAGAGCAGCATGACCTCGGTACACTATCACCTTGGATCCCAACATATAAGCCCGAAACTTCTCAAAGGCATAGACAATGGAAAGAAGTTCTTGCTCAGTCACCATGTAATTCATTTGTGCCCCATTGAGTGTCTTGCTTGAATAATAGACCGAGTGGAGAACCTTGTTGTGACATTGGCCAAGCATTGCTCCAATAGCTACACCACTAGTATCACACATGAGCTTGAAAGGAAGAGACCAATTGTGTGTGACAATAATAGGTGCTGCGGTGAGCTTTTGCTTCAATTCCTCAAAGTCTTTGAGGCATGTCTTGTCAAACAAAAATTTTGCATCTTTCTCAAGGAGTTTGCACATAGGATTTGCAATCTTGGAAAATCCTTGATGAAACGCCTATAGAATCCGGCATGCCCCAAGAAACTTCGGACACCTTTAACGGAAGTAGGTGGAGGAAGCTTGGAAATAATCTTGATCTTTGCCCGGTCAACTTCAATGCCATATTTTGAACTTTTTATGCCTCAATATAATGCCTTCATCCACCATGAAATGGCATTTCTCCCAATTGAGCACAAGATTGGTATCCTCACATCCCTTTAGCACTTGTCTAAGATTGTTGAGACACTGCTCAAAAGAGTCACCTACCACCGAGAAGTCGTCCATGAAAACCTCTAGAAAATCCTCCACCATGTTGGAGAAAATGGACATCATGCATCTTTGAAAGTAGCCGGAGCATTGCACAAACCAAATGGCATTCGGCTAAAAGCAAAAGTTCCTTAAGGGCAAGTGAATGTTGTCTTATCTTGATCCTCCAATGCGATGTTGATTTGGTTGTAACCAGAATATCCATCAAGAAAGAAATAGAATGACCTTCCCGCTAGCTGATCAAGCATTTGATCAATAAAAGGCATAGGGAAATTGTCACGACCCAAACCGATGGGCCGCGACGGGCGCTTGAGTCTTACCTGTCAAACACCCCTAAGCATGCGTCTAAAATATGAACCTGAATAACATCTGCTGCATTACAAAATTAACATAGGTGAAAGAAGCCTACCATCAAGGCATATGTACTTATATAGGGAGAATACAGTGGGCGAGCCGGCAAGGCTGCTATAGACAACTATACATTAAAAACTGAAAGCCGACAAGGCCACATACAACCCAACTAGACATACTGTCTACAGACCTCTAACAGAAACATAGCTGTACAAAGATGGGACTGAGCCACATCATACTCATATACATATATATGTACAAGCGTATCGTACCAATATCAAAAGTAGCTCTGGATCAAATGGAGCACGCTAACTCTCGCTGATCAGGGATCCTAAGAATGGGGACTATCAGCTTGCCTACCTGCACCTGCGGGCATGAAACGCAGGCCCCGTGAAATAGGGTGTCAGTACGAAAAATGTACTGAGTATGTAAGACATGGAAATTAGTACGTAAAAGACATAGATGAAACATGGAATACTAAAACACATTTTTCAATTTGAATAACTTTGTAAATACTGAAACATTTATAATGTCATGCACGTGCGTGTAAATGTCATGCCATGCATTGGTATGGTGTACATAATATCATCAAGCCACTGGGGGCATCCCATCATATCATCTCGGCCACTGTGGGCAATATCATCATCATCATATACCAACTGATCAGGTGGTGATGCGTATATAACGCCGTAACCTTTTCCCATATCCCATATACATATATATACATACATATATACGCGTATATAACGCTATTTGANATATACGCATATATAACGCCATCTGGTCATGGGTCAATGCACATGTACGAAATGCATGAAAAAATACGTAATAATCTCAATATTCCTTCCGGATAGATTTTTCCAACTGCGTATTATTTTGATACCCATGAACAGAAGAAAATAATAATTCTCATGGGTAGTCAAGAATATAGACACCCCTACTATTTCTATGAATAGAATAATTTATAGAAATCATGTATTTGCTCGTTTCTTTCGTATAATCTAGACCATGCCAAAAGAAAGAAGGGAGAGCCTTAACATACCTAGAATAGGGAAAACTCTATATAATATTCTTGGCGAAGATTGCACTGCACTCTTTTAGAATCGCAAAATTTTACGTTGCTATTATTTCAACAAATTTGCGTTGGAAGTTCTTCAGAATCGAATTTGGCTTCTGCTCCAAACTTATTTGAACTTGAGAAGGAAATTATTTTGCTCCAACATATTTGAATTTTTAAGAAACAATTTCTGTTCTTTTGCGTTTTTGAAACTCAGAAGGGATTGAATTACTATCTAATGTATATGAAATTTGACTAAGACCCAATTGATATATACATTTCATGCTAAGCACATATGACTCTCAGTCATATGCTTAAATTGTGGTACACTACCACGTTTCTTTGTGGATATAATTAATTATCTTTTATCCACTTATTAGTTAATCGGAAAATGTTTCGTTACCTGGTAATTTATTTATTACCCGCATAATTTAAGAATTATCACAAATTACTTAAAATTCTATTTATTTTCAAAATACTTCATATATATTTTATATATTACACTACCGTGGTCATATGGTACTTTGCATGGAACTAGTTTGTAATTATTGGGTATTATTACTTGATCCGTAGTTTATCCCAACTTGGCCATTTTCAACGAAACTCATTTTCTATAATTTGTGCATCCTTTATCCCTAATGGGACTTATTTATTTCTTGTTAATACGTTAACATCAAGATGATCTCATCCCTGATTCTACGTTAGTTGACCGAAGACGAAACATTTAACATACAAAAATGCGAGATGTAACATCCTTCCCCCCTTAGAAACATTCGTCCTCGAATGTTCCATTCTCCGTGATCCATATAACTTTGGCAAGGTCGCCTTTTGTAACAATACTACTACCAACTCTCCCCGTAGAAGCTTAATAATTCAACGACACACAAGACAACGACAATAATGAATAGAAGAATTTATACACGCACCTTGAGGTTATGACATCTCAATTAGACCCTTCTTTGGAAGAGAAAATAGGTAGGGATATCTAGACTTCATGTCTTCCTCGGCCTCCCAAGTCATTTCTTCTACATTGTTGTTCCTCCAAAGCACTTTCACGGAGGCTACCTCCTTATTCCGCAGCTTGCGGACTTGTCGGTCTCAGATGGCAACCGGAATTTCCTCGTATGACAAGTCCTCTGTAATCTGTACATCATTCGTGGGCACTACTCGGGTAGGATTGCCAATGCACTTTCGTAACATAGATACGTGAAAAACTGGATGGACAGACTCCAATTCCAAGGGCAATTCTAACTCATAAGCTACTCGGCCCACTCTCCGAATAATCCTATAAGGCCCAATATACCGTGGGCTAAGTTTACCCTCTTTTGCCAAATCTCATCACACCCTTCATAGGCGACACCTTCAAGAATACCCAGTCATCAGTCCCGAATTCTAAATCTCGACGTCGCACATCTGAATATGACTTCTGACGACTCTGAGCTGTCAATAGTCGATCCCGGATAAGCTTTAATTTTTCTATGGCTTGTTGAACCAGGTCTGGCCCGTGTAATCCAGATTCTCCAACGTCGAACCACCCTATAGGTGACCTACACTTTTGTCCGTAAAGAGCTTCGTATGGAGCCATCTGAATGCTGAAATGGTAGCTATTATTATATGCGAACTCAATAAGCGGCAGATGACCATCCTAGCTACCTTTGAAGTCTATTACAAAAGCTCGCAACATATCCTCCAGTGTTTGAATAGTATGCTTAGCTTGTCCGTCTATCTGGGGATGAAATGCTGTACTAAGACTTACTTGAGTCCCCAATCCCTTTTGGAAGGACCTCCAAAAGTTAGCTGTAAATTGAGCTCCTCTCTCTGAGATAATAGATACCGGTAGACCATGCAGTCGTATTATCTCCTTAATATAAAGTCTCGCATAATCTTCTGAGGAATATGTTGTTCTAATGGGCAAAAAAATGGGCTGACTTTGTGAGCCTATCAACAATCACCCATATCGAATCGAACTTACGCTGGGTATGAGGTAAGCCTACGATGAAGTCCATATTGATTACTTCCCATTTCCAAGTCGGAATCTTCATAGCCTGCAATAATCTACCGAGTTTTTGGTGCTCAATCTTACCCTACTGACAGTTAGGGCACTAAGCAATAAATTCTGCTATATCCTTTTTCATTCCATCCTACCAATATATTTTCCTGATGTCATGATACATCTTTGTTGCTCCTGGATAGATAGAATAACAAGAATAGTGAGTTTCTCCCATAACCTGCCGATGCAGCCCTGCAACATTAGGCACACATAATCGCCCTTGATATCTGAGAACCCCATCTTTGGTAATTTCAAAAGGTGTCTTCTCCTTCTGAAGATTGTTATCTCTACAATGAATTAGCACAAGATCCTTGTACTGGCGTTCCTTTACCTCAGTTATTAAAGATGATGTTGTTGTATCCTGAAGAGTAATTCCAATGTCACCTGAGTCCAGTAACCGAACTTCAAGACTAGCTAGCTGATGAACCTCATGGGCTATTCCCCTCTTTTCTGAATGCAAATACGACAGGCTACCCATAGATATACGGTTGAGAGCATCGGCAACTACGTTTGCCTTCCCCCGATGTTATAAATATAAACGTCATAGTCTTTAAGTAGCTCCAACCATCTCCTTTGACGAAGATTCAATTCCTTTTGCTTGAAAATGTACTGGAGGCTCTTATGATCCGTATACATATCAACATGAATGCCATACAAGTAGTGCCTCCACATCTTTAGTGAATGAATTACCATGGCTAACTCTAAATCGTGGGTCGGGTAGTTCTTCTCATGCTTTCTTAGTTGTTTAGAAGCATAGCCACAACCTTACCATGCTGCATCAGCACACAACCCAATCCAATGCTTGAAGCGTCACAATGGATAACATAACCATCGGTCACTTCTGGAAGTGTTAGAATCAGTGTTGAAGTTAATCTGTCCTCTAAGGCCTGGAAAACTTCGTTCACAAGCGTCAGTCTATTGAAATATAGTTCCCTTCTGAGTTAACTTGCATAGTTTTCCTAATCTTGCACAATTCAGGAAATTCCCCTCTTCGGAGGCCCAAGCTTCATCTTTTATCCCTCACAATTGCGCCCTTATCCCACTATTAGGGCAACATTTCATCTATTCTAAACGTTACTAGTCTTAGACTCCTTTGAGTTCATTCGGGCTATACTGAGCCTCTTATAACTTAGGGAAACCATCAGCTCTCTTATGAGCTTAACCCCAAGGACTTACCCATTCCCGTTACCTTTTCACTCATCTTTTCTTATCCTTCCTCGTATCTTTCTAAAACCTTGCCGCTCTACCATACTTTTTAGCTTGTGACCTACATATATCTATCTATACTTATTCGTAATATTTCTTCATCTTACTTGAATCATAGATTTCCTTATGTTATTCTGGAACATTAAACGAGACAATTACAGATTTCCTGTAATATCCTGCCAAATGGAGAAGCTACGAACCTTTATCGGTGTTGTGGGTCTAGGCAAAGTCTTCACTGCTTCGGTCTCTTGTGTATCCTATCGGATGTCTTTACCCGAAATAATATGCCCAAGGAAAGTTACGGAGTTCAACCAGAGTTCATAGTTAGAAAATTTTGCACACAACTTCCCTTCTTGTAGAACTCTGAGCACAATATGCATATGATGTGCATGCTTAGCCTCTGAACGAGAATATACCAATATATATCGCCGATAAATATGATTATGAACAAATATTAAAAAGGGCCTGAAAACACGATTCATCGAATCCATGAATACTGCTGGGGCATTGGTCAAATTGAACGACATAACATGAAACAAAAAGTGCTCGTATCCGGTCCTGAATGTTGTCTTCGGAATATCTTCCTTCTTAACCCTTACCTGATGGTACCCGGTCCTCAAGTCTATCTTTTAAAAACACTTGGCACCTTGTAAATGATCAAATAAATCCTCAATCCTCGGGAGCAGATACTTATTCTTGATCGTCACCTTATTCAACTGCCTATAATTAATACACGTTCGTAAGGGACCATCCTCTTTTCTCATAAACAACACAGGTGCTCCCCATGGTGACGTACTAGACCTGATAAAATTTTTTTCAAGCAAGCCCCTTAGTTGTTCCTTTAACTCGTTTAGCTCTGCGGGGGCATTCTATAGGGAGGAATAGATATTGAGTGAGTATCTGGTAGTAGTACAATAGCAAACTCAATTTCTTGCTTGACGGAAGACTCGGAAGCTCATCAAGAAAAACATCGGGAAACTTATTCACCATAGGGATGGACTAAATGGTTGGTAACTTTACTTCCGTATCCCAAACCCGACCTTAGTGATAAATGTAGTGCTTTTTGATTATCTTCCTTGCCTTGAGATGGGAGATAAATTTACCTCTTGGTGATGCGGTATTATCTTTCCATTCTAAAACAAGCTTTCCTGGAAACTGAAATCAACCCACCTTTGGTCTATACTTGATGTTAGCATAACAAAAGGCCAATCAATCCATATCAATTATAATATCAAGTCCTACCTAACCGAGCACCACGTACCTTATCCTTGTTTGTTCTCAAATCTATCATGGTTCATTACGACAACATCCATATATATATATATATAACAACATTAAGACTTAACGCGCATAACTAATTTAGAAAAAGGTTTATATACATAGGGATCAACTAGGCCGTAGACATATCATACCCAAAACTATATACATGATACTATCTGCAAAGCCTCTAAGTAGGCATAACTAATATATATACAAGTCGTGACGGGGCTCCCTACATCCTCATAAAACAACCAAACACCTTTAAAACCCTGACATGGTAATATTCTAAGAAGAGGTGGAACCCACCAACCAAAAACTGACACTTGTAGGAAGCCTACAGTAGAGGGTCCTTGCCTCGTCCTACATAAGAACCTCGATCAGACACGCTTCGAAGTGGAATCTTCATGTCCTTATCAGTTACCTTCCTTCTCTTGGCCCGACTACTATCTTATTCCTCTGCGTATCCCATAACATACACTGAAGAACCTTGATTGACAGACTCCCAAGACTGTGGACTATCCGGAACCTCAGAAGAGCTGGTGTCCTCAAATACCTTGACATAGTTTTGAGCCTGAGGGAATCTTGATTGTGCCAATCCATGCACTACTCCCCTCATACCCTGATCAACGGGCTGTGAAACTAAGCGCCTTGGTGAGGTCAGAACTCCTCTCACCCCATCTACTACCGGAGTGGTTGAAACAACTCTAACGGATGGCTCATATGGATCCTCGGATGGATCCTCCTCAATAGAACCCATAATCTCTGATGGGCCTGAATCCATAGTATAACTTATCTCTCTTTCTGGAACCTTTGTAGACTTGTGACCCGTGCTAGCGGCTGTAGTCTTCGGAGGTATCGCTAAGAACGTAACACATCGTTATGAACACGAATGCTTATATTGCACGATCTAAGATAAGAAAAGAGGAAAACATCCTATATGTCCTGTAGCCTCATGTCTATAAGTGTGGTGCATGACACACCCATAAACAAGACTCTACTAGACACGGTCTGTAGACAAACCTAGGATAGAACTGCTCTGATACCACTTTTGTCACGACCCAAACCGATGGGCCGCGACAGGCGCCTGAGTATTACTTGTCAAACACCCCTAAGCATGCGTCTAAAATATGAACCTGAATAACATCTGCTGCATTACAAAATTAACATATGTGAAAGAAGCCTGCCATCAAGGCATATGTACTTATACAGGCAGAATACAGTGGGCGAGCCGACAAGGCTGCTATAGACAACTATACATCAAAAACTGAAAGCTGACAAGGCCACATACAACCCAACTAGACATATTGTCTACAAACCTCTAACAGAAACATAGCTGTACAAAGACGGGACTGAGCCACGTCATACTCATATACATACATATGTACAAACATATCGTTCCTATATCAAAAGCAGCTCCGGATCAAATGGAGCATGCCAACTCTCGCTGATCAAGGATCCTAAGAATGGGGACCGTCAGCTTGCCTACCTGCACCTGCGGGCATGAAACGTAGGCCCCGTGAAACAGGGTGTCAGTACGAAAAATGTACTGAGTATGTAAGGCATGGAAATTAGTATGTAAAAGACATAAATGAAACATGGAATACTGAAACACATTTTTAAATTTGAATAACTTTGTAAATACTGAAACGTTTATAATGTCATGCACGTGCGTGTAAATGTCATGCCATGCATAGGTATGGTGTACATAATATCATCTCAGCCACTGTGGGCAATATCATCAACATATACTAGCTGATCAGGTGGTGGTGCGTATATAACGCCATAACCTTTTCCATATAACGCCATACATATATATATATATACATACATATATACACGTATATAACGCCGTTTGAATACATACATATATACGCGTATATAACGCCGTTTGAATCATATTTTAGCCACTATGGGCAATATCATCATCATATACCAACTGATCAGATGGTGATGCGTATATAATGTCGTAACCTTTTCCCATATCCCATATACATATATTTACATATATACGCGTATATAATGCCATCTGGTCATGGGTCAATGCACATGTACGAAATGCATGAAAAATACGTAATAATCTCAATATTCCTTCCGGATAGATTTTTCCAACTGCGTATTATTTTGAGACCCATGAATAGAAAAAAATAATAATTCTCATGGGTAGTCAAGAATATAGACACCCCTACTATTTCTATGAATAGAATAATTTATAGAAACCGTGTATTTGCTCGTTTCTTTCATATAATCTAGACCATGCCAAAAGAAAGAAGGGAGGGCCTTAACATACCTGGAATAGGGAAAATTCTATATAATATTCTTAGCAAAGATTGCACCGTACTCTTTTAGAATTGCAAAATTTTACGTTGCTATTATTTCAACAAATTTGCGTTGGAAGTTCTTCAGAATCGAATTTGGCTTCTTCTCCAAACTTATTTGAACTTGAGAAGGAAATTATTTTGCTCCAACATATTTGAATTTTTAAGAAGCAGTTTCTGTTCTTTTGCGTTTTTGAAACTCAGAAGGGATTGAATTACTATCTAATGTATATGAAATTTGACTAAGACCCAATTGATATACACGTTTCATGCTAAGCACATATGACTCTCAGTCATATGCTTAAATTGTGGTACACTGCCATGTTTCTTTGTGGATATAATTAATTAACTTTTATCCACTTATTAGTTAACCGGAAAATATTTCGTTACCTGGTAATTAATTTATTACCTGCATAATTTAAGAATTATCACAAATTACTTAAAATTCTATTTATTTTCAAAATACTTCATATATATTTTATATATTACACTACCGTGGTCATATGGTACTTTGCATGGTACTAGTTTGTAATTATCGGGTATTATTACTTGATCTGTAGTTTATCCTAACTTGGCCATTTTCAACGAAACTCATTTTCTATAATTCGTGCATCCTTTATCCCTCATGGCACTTATTTATTGCTTGTTAATATGTTAAAGTCAAGATGATATCATCCCCGATTCTACGTTAGTTGACCGAAGATGAAACTTTTAACGTACGAAAATGCGAGATGTAACAGAAATGGTCTTTGCATGTGGCACTGTTGAGCTTTTGATAATCCATACACACCCACCATTCGTTCACCGTTCTTGTTGGGATGAGCTCATATTTATCATTTTCGATCATGGTCATGCCTCCCCTTTTCGGCACACATTGCACCGGGCTCACCCAAGAACTATCGGCAATAGGGTAGACTACCCCGACATCCAACCACTTGTTGATTTCTTTCATTACCACCTCTTGCATGTACGGGTTCAACCGTCGTTGATGTTCCACACTTGGTTTTGTCTCACTCTCCAATTGGATCTTGTGTTCGCAAATTCCCGCGGGAATCCCTCGGATGTCCGCAATAGTCCATCCAATAGCTTGCCTATGCTCCTTCAAGACTTCCAACAATTGTTCTACCTGCACATCATTCAACAAAGAAGAAACAATTACCGGTAAAGTATCATTTGAGCCAAGAAATTTATACCTCAAGTGTGGTGGAAGTGGTTTGAGCTCTAGTTGTGGTGGTTCGATAATAAAAGTCTTTGCGGGAGGAGTGGCTATATTCTCCAAGTCAAGAGAGAGCTTTACCGGAGCATAAGTGTAAGACCCAAGCCCCTCCAATGCATTTACCAATTCCATATATCCTTCCATATCTTCACCATCAAAGTTTACCAAAATAGCTGCCAACGCCTCACCGAGGCATTGTTCTTCCATCTTCATTTCAACTGCATCTTCCACTCCATTAACAACATCAATCACTGAGATGCTCTCATATTCATGTGGTAGTTTCATACCTTTGCTTTCATGGAATGTAACCTCTTCATCATTCACATAAAATTTGATCTCATTCCGTTCTGAATCCATTAGTGCTCTACCTGTGGCTAGGAATGGTCTCCCCAAAATGATAGGGATCTCTTTGTAAATTGCACAATCAAGGATTACGAATTTGGCGGGTAAATGAAACTTTCCCACTTTAACAAGCACATCATCAACAATTCCCACCGATCTCTTTATGGAATGATTGGCTGTTTGCAATCTCATACTTGTGGGACTTGGCATACCCAACCCCGCTTGCTTGTAAATGGAAAGAGGCATCAAGTTGATGCTAGACCCATTATCACAAAGGGCTCTTGCAAAATAATGTGCCCCAATAGTACAAGGAATGTTGAAAGCTCCTGGGTCTTCTTTGTTTTGAACGGTAGATGTTGCAAAAATGGAACTAATCTGGTGAATCACATTCACCACTTCATTTTTGGTAATTCTCTTCTTGGTAATCAAATCTTTCAAATATTTAGCAAAACCCGGCATCTCTTGAAATGCTTCCACAAATGGAATGTTCACCGATAATTGCTTGAGAAAGTCATAGAACTTTTCAAGTTTGCTATCATCAACCTTCCTAGCAAGTCTTTGAGGGAATGGAGGAGGAGGTCTAGGAATAGGTGGTAGACTTTTTGGTGTCTCTTTTACCTTTTCATTTACCTCTTCTCGGTTTTCTTGTTTCACTTTCAACTCTTCCGGCACTTTTTCACTTTCAACAACACTTGGCTCTTCAACCTCACCTTTATGTTCGGACTCTTCAACTTCAACCACTTGTTCTCTCCCTCCTTGTAGTACCTTCCCACTCCGAGTAGTAATTGCCCTGACATGTGAAGTTGGACCACTCCCACTACCCTTGGGGTTCACAATTGTGTCACTTGGAAGTGTCCCTTTTTGCTTCGGATTTTGTTCCCTAGAGAGGTCTCTCATTTGCATCTCCAATTTTTGAATGGATGCGGTATACGAACCAACAAGCTCGATCATATTCATCATAGAAGTGTCAAACTTCTCTTGATTTTGCAACACCCGTTCAAGCATTCCTTCCAACTTAGACTCACTTGAGGAACCTTGATTTGAATATTGACCCTTTGGAGGAACATAAGGGTTTGAACTCCGATTTGGGAAGTTGTTGTTGTTGTTCCAATTACCTTGATTTGAGACGCCTTGGTCATTTCTTCACTGTTGGTTGCCTTGCCCTTGCGAGTGAGGCCTCCATTGATTTTGTTGTTCCACCACATTTACTTTCTTCGTTTGGCTTTCTGTGAACATCTTTGTCAACACATTGACATTTGTGGCAAGCCCTCCAATCACTTGATCCCTCTCTTGATTTTCCTTGATCATGGTGGTCAAGGACGAGGATCCATATGCAATTCCACCTATGGTGTCCTCTAAGTGCCATGCTTGATTATGCTTTGCCATTTTGTCAAGTATTTGTGTGACCCTTACGAATGATTTGTCCATGAAAGATTTGTCAGCTGCATTCTTGGTTATAAATTGGTTCATAGGATCCAAGCCCATGTACAACAAGATAGAATCCGGAAAACCATGGTTTGGAGATCTCACTAAATATAACTTGAACTGATCTCATGCCTCATGTAGATGTTCTCCCGGTACTTGCTTGAAAAAGAAAATTTTATCCTGGAACTCAGACTTCTTACTTTGCGGGAACAGTTTAGCTAAGAATGCCGAGACAAGTTTAGGCCAAGAAGGAATGGAGTTTGGTGGCATATTCCGAAGCCATTTCCTTGCGTCCCCAGCTAGTGAGTACTTGAAGCACCTCAACCTTAGAGCATCATCCGAGACGTTGTTCTGCTTATGCATCACACACACAACCAAGAAGTTTCTATGATGTTGTGTCGGATCATCATAAGTGAAATTCCTAAAAAAACTCTCCGCTTTGAGCATAAGGATTAAACCACGTTCCACCTTGAAAGTTGCAACGCCAACTGCCGGAGGTACAATAGCATTTGTATCCTCAATGTACTCCTCTATGACCACAAAAGGATTTTCTTCCATTTCTGCCTCCATTTCTTCTTCATATTCGGCCAAATTTTCCAATCAACACCAAGCAAAACAAGCAAAGTGTGATGGAATAGACTAAGACGTAAAGTAAAGCACACACTAATTAGTAATTTTACATTATTCCCCAACAACGACGCCAAAATTTGATACGCTCAAATTACACTTTAATTAAATAGTGTAAGGCGGTCGGTGTCACATATAATAACCCAATAAGGTTGGGGTCGAATCCCACATGGAATAGGTATGAAAATGTTACTCAAATAGTGTGTTACTTGACTAAAGTCGTAATTCTATTCGGTTAATGGTAACAAGAGTATGAATTGAGTTTGGTTTGAAGAAATAACTAATTGTGATATTGAGAATGTAAATAATTTGATAAAAGAAACCAAGGTTATGTCCCCTTCAATAAAGTGTAATGTTATCGGTGTTAATATGATATATTTCTAATAGAAAGATTCTTTTGATATGTAAATGATTTCTAAATGACTACCCAATATTTTCCAATAGTTAGGTAGTATTTCCTCTTTATGATTTTTTCAAATATAAAAGAGTTACAATTAAGAACAATCACTATATGCCAAATAAAACCCACTTTTTCCTAAGCGATTCTATTGAACACGTTTAAAGCCTTGAGTCTTTGGTAGTTACTTCTACCAAATTCTAACCCACTTTCCCAAGCAAAGTAAGAATTTAATGGCACTTGTTAATGTTTGCAACCACCGACAACAAATGAAGAATGAGAAGTAAATAAATATCAACCAACCATTATACATATATTCAATGTTAAACACCCATTAACATAATACCCATTTAGGTTCCACAACCTTTGAATTTAAAGTTAGCTACACATACTAGAATACAAAAGGAAGAGAATATTTAATGCCATAAAGCTTACAAAGTGCAAGATTCTTGACCCAAAAGCTTCCAAAAGAGAGGAATATTAAAGCCTTGTATTGTAGCTCCAAAATCAGACAAGATGCCCCCACAAAACCCCAAGATCTCAGTTCCGATTTTTTTTTTCATCGGCGTACACACTTCTATATAGATATCTCGGTTTTGGTTTAGCTAGGTGGCATTGGTTTATAGTGGGTCAAAACTCGGGACAAAATTTGGACAAAAATACCCTTTTCGGTTAAATATGCGACTGCATATATGTCGTATAATAGACATGCGGTCCGCATTCTTGACATAGCCATCGCATCTTCAAACCCTAGTTTCCAGGCCTTCATCACATTCACGTTTTGCAGTCCACATTGCAGATGTGCGATCGCATTTCGCATCGTATTTTCCACCTTCAGCAACCTTCATGACGAGTTTGCGGTCCATTATACAGCTTGCAAATAGATTATGCAATTGCAGACTAGACCGTATTTCTTGCACTGGGCTTTGCCCACAAATCTGTTGTTGTTTGCGATTCCCTTGAACATTCTGCGATCCGCATGTTGGATTTGCAATCACATATCCACATTTGCGATACATTTTGCTCTTTTCTTGTCTTTTTGTGGCTTTTTGATTTCATTTCTATGCTCTTAAGTCCGAAACCTCATGCACTGCAAAACACACTAAGATTACATAAGCATAAAAGATAATTGCATCTTAAACACGCTAAAATCTAAGCAATTTGTATTAAATGTGCTAAAATTCTCCGGCACATCATAGGCCTGTTGGTGCAGCACCCCTTACTTGGCAGCAGTTCTCCATTCTCTTTTTGGAGAAGAATGTGCCACAGTCACGCAGAGAGGAGCTGTGTAGGTAGTTCGAGTGGTTGCGTCAGGGAGATATGACTGTGATGTAGTATGAGATGAGGTTTTCGGAGTTAGCTCGTCATGTTGTTTGGTTGGTTCTTATGGAGAGAGAGAGGATTAGGAGGTTCGCTGATGGCCTAACATATCAGCTTCAGATTCTTATGACCAGGGAGAGAGTGTCTAGTGCTACTTTTAAGGAGGTTCTTGACATTGCTCGCAAGATTGAGTCAGTTTGTCGCCAGGAGCGAGATGAGAGGGAGGCCAAGAGGCCTCGAGGACTGGTAGTTATGGTGGTGCTCCTTCGAGCGGTCAGTTTCAGCATGGTAGAGGCCGTCTATTCAGACATGCTCAGTCAGCAGGCCTAGGTTATCGTGGGACGTCATCGGTTCATGAATCTCGTAGTTATCATCAAGGCCAATCATCACTTAGTGCCCTTCTAGCCTAGAGTTCGTCCCGTGCTCCGTTAGTTTAGGGCTCTTCTATGCCAGGTGCATCTGCTAGTCATTCCGGTGCTAGGGGTTCCCTTCAGTCCCTGTATCCAGCACTAGGGAGTTGTTATGAGTGTGGAGAGTTGGGTCATAAATGGAGGCAGTGTCCTCGTCGTCTTGGGGGTTCATCTCAGCAGAGGAGTCAGCCATAGGCTTCAGTGCCAGTTACTTCACCACCACCCACCTAGCCAGCTAGGGGTGGAGGTTAGTCAGCTAGGGGTCTCCCTATAGGGGGAGGTCGATCAGGTGGCGGTCAGGTCCGTTTCCATGCACTCCCAGCTAGGCCCGATGATATTGCTTCAGATGCTATGATCACAGGTATTGTCTTAATCTGCCACAGAGATGCCTCTATATTATTTGATCCTAGTTCCACTTATTCTTATGTGTCATTATACTTTGCTCGTTATTTGGATATGCCCCGTGAGTCTCTTCTCTTATCTATTTGTGTATCTACTCTGGTAGGCGATATTGTTTTTGTAGACCGTGTGTTTCGGTCATGTGTGGTGACTATTGGGGGTTTGGAGACCCGAGTGGATATTCTGTTATTGTGTATGGTAGACTTTGATGTGATATTGGGCATAGATTGGCTATCTCCATCTCGTGCTATTTTGGACTGTCATGTTAAGACAGTGACCTTGGCTATGCGGGGTGTGCCACTAACTGAGTGCTGAGGTTCGACCAATTATATTCCCAGTACGGTGATTTCATTCTTGAAGGCCTAGCGTATGGTTGAGAAGGGTTGTCTTTCCTACTTAGCCTTTGTGAGGGATGTCGATACAGAGACTCCCGGTATTGATTTTGTTCCAGTTGTGAGGGATTTTTCCCGTTATGTTTCCTGTAGACCTGCCGGGCATGCCACCAGACAGGGATATTGATTTTGGTATTGATCTAGTGCCAGGTGTCACACCTCTTTTTCACTACACCCGTAAAGGGTACAAGGGAGTTTTTTCCAATTTAAGTGACAATCGAAACGGGATTATATTTATTAAAATTTAGAGTTGCCACTTGGGATAATTTATGGTGACCCAAGTCATTGATTCAAATCCCGAATCGAGGAAAATGTTGACTCTGTATTACAGTCCGCGAACCAGAAATCCGGGTAAGGAATTCTGTTAAACCGGGAGAAGGTGTTAGGCATTCCCGGGTTTCGTGGTTCTAGCACGATCGCTCAACTGTCATAATTGTCCTAATTATCTGATTTTAAACACTTTTAAACCTATCTGCATTTTTAGCTTTAACCACTTTCAATTAATTTGAAGGAAAAGTCCAACGTCACATAAAACGCGTTTTGAATCACGTCACATAAATGCACCCGCAGTCTGCAACACATTTTATATAACATTTTTAGGATTTAGATTTGGGTCACATAAATGCGCACCCGAATTTAGGAAGGTAAATTATTAAACTAACGCACCTAAAGCATTTGCGTTTGCAACTTTGTGAGGGTCATGAAAATTTCACTAAGTGGAACACCTCGAATTCTAAGGATTAAACAAAACTTAATTAAGCGAGGGCCGCGTAATTTGTCATTTTATTTAGCACGATGCACCTCAAGTTATTTTAGCTTAAGTGTTTCTAAACTAATTCATGAGGGCCATACATTATTTTAAGTTATCTAATTATGGCTCACCTCAATTTATTTGTTAAGATTCTAAATTTATTAAAGGAAAGAGCCTAGAGGAATTCAAGAAATGTTAAAGTTATAACTTCTAAAATAGTATATGTACGCAAATGCCTATTTCCATTTTAAGCTTGAGCCCAATAACCCATAGCAGACCCAATA